AATATTTTAATTAGATTTAGATATATATAATTTTATTTATATATAATAAAATTAATAAAAAATAATTATAAAGAATGAAAATAAGGTCAACCCATGGGTTAATCCGTAATCCGTTAGGGTCGGGTTAGGGTTGAATTTTTCCAACCTGCAACTTGTTTATAACCCAACTCGTATAACTTGTTAGCTGAGTTTGCCCAACTCGAACCTGACCCAATCCGTCGGTTTGCCAGGTCTTTTTTTTTGGGACCTAAAAGAATGAATCTCAAGTTTTGGGATCTAAGTGCTCATCTTACAAAATATGGAGGACTATATGATGCAATTTTACCATTGAAGAAGTAACAAAAAAGGCCAAAAATCCGACACGGTGTTGCTGGTGTGTGCTGAACAGAAGGTGTCAGCATCTTGTTGAAGGTGTTCACCCCTTACGCGATTTTCACAAAATTCATGTTTAATTTATTATCATAAGTGTGGGTCTCACTTTTATTTGGTTTCTAAAATCTTATAAATACCCATCTAAATTCAGAATTAAGAAGAAAAAGACTAGTGGCAACCCTCTTTTGCGCATTCTTAGAGCTTAAGATAAATAATTCATCAACAATAAAAAATTAAAAAGTTCAAGTTCCTCAAATTGAATTCTATTTTTCTTTAGATTCTTTTTATTTATTGTTTAATATTCGAATATTCATGATTATAATTTCAGATTTTATTATTTTTATTATGAACTAATTTATTTTATTAAGGTTATAATGTAGTCTAATCAATTTAATATAAATTTTTTGATTTTTACACTTTCAATTAAAGTTATTCGCATGAGAAGTTTATATTATTGAACTTAATGCATTTAAAACCTGATCACCTTTCAATTGATTTAGTGATTTATGCATGAATTTGATAAAGAATTGTGTAAATTAGATCAATAATAATATAAACCGTGTGTTAGACTATAAGACCGAAAGGTAATTAACTCACATGTGGTGGTGGAGGAAAAAAAGAAAGTTAGGAGCTTCCCTTTTTAAACTAGAGGTTTTCATAGAATTTAATTCTCATTTATTTATTTAAAATTACATAGAGATATGAATAATTTGACAAACAAGTGAAGGATTAACTTGACTTGAGAAAACTGATTAATTAATTTAGAGAAATCCACCATCATATGCAATAACATTCAATAATATGATAATTCAAAATTTATATTGATTAATTATGGTAAAGTTAATGCCTTAGTACCTCATATTTTAGTTAGTTTTATTTTAATTGTTAGTTTTTTTTTTTGTTATTTTAATTAAAATTCCTTCTTTTCAATTGTTCAAATAAATTTAGATTAATTATTTGGATACTTAATAGACACAATTCTCGTGAGTTTGATACTCTTTTTATCATTATATTTTTAAAATGACTAATACATTTGTTATGATGATTTTAGTACATCAACAACCAGTGTACATAATGTGGAGAAGAACGAAGATGAGCATAAGCGAAGGGTCTGCACCACCCCATTAGTTTTTGAGCTTCTTTCCTTGTTGTATATTCCAAAAAAAAAGTCACCTAGTCCTAGTCTTGGAAGTCAAAGAAATGCAATAATTAATAACCGGTTAATTCTAATTCAAATGGAACTTTGCAACTATTATCACTATAAATACTAAGTTAATTAACTTCATCGACTATCATGTTTTGTTCATCGATTATCTTGTTTCATTCATCGACTATCTTGTTTGGTGGCTAAACAAGGATAAAATTGAAGTTTACTTGGATATGGCGTTTTTGTCTTTTGATATTGTTGTTGGTATTCTTGCTAACCTACTGGTCAAATCCTTAACGCGATTCAGATGTATATCTAAACAATGTAACTTTCTGATTTCGAATCCAAGATTCATCAAAAATCATCTTCAGAACATGAAATCTAAAGATGAACATTGGGATTTCATTCTCCAGAGAAAGTGGATGGACCCAGAGTTCTTGGTTTTAAGAATTCCTAGTGATTTCAATGGCTGTGAGGGGGATGTACTTCATGCAGTAGAAACTCAAGCTCCCCAGAAGATAGAAACTTATCTTACCTAGCAATCAGCAAAGTGTGATGGTATGTTATGCATTCCTAAGGGGTGCAGCGTTCTAGTTTGGAACCCTTCAACAAAGGTAACTAGGAGAATTCTGGGGCCTCCAAAACCAGATCGTATAGATGGTATAGGTTTTGGTTATGATTGTACCATTGATGATTACAAGGTTGTAAACATCATACGTCCTTACGAAAACAGACCAACAAGCATCCAAAGCTTGAGATTGAGGACTGGTTTGTGGAACACTGCTCAAAACCACGTAAACTGCAACTTTTTTGTTGAACCACAAGCAAGGAAGAGTGTTTATGGATGCATCTATTGGATTGGCAACATACCGGATATTCCTCAAAGGTCACTTAGCTTTTTGATGGTATGTTTTGATTTAGGGACAGAGATAGTAAGAGAAGAGAAGTTTCCAAGTGAAATATTGCATGATAGCACGTGTCTTGGGGGTTTTAGCGGGATCCCTAAGTCTGACAGGCACTCCTCGCTTTGGCAATGTAACACATTATGAGGTGTGGGTAAAGGAGGAAAACTACTCTTGGAAAATATTGTTCAGATTTTCGACGTGTTGTCCTCCCTCCTGTTCCTTGTATTTTTCCATATATTTCACTAGGAATGGACATGTTTTGACGAATGAATACACTAAAAATGGAGATCAAGTGTTTCTTTACAATCTAAAAGATGAATCGGTTAAGAAGATTCAAGTATAGGGACTCGGAGGGATCCGATATTTTGCTATGATTCCATACATAGAGAGCTTGGTGTCACCTTGTGCATGTGAAGTTGGTCTAGAACTGGCATGTTGACAAGCATTTTAATTTGTTTTTATGTTTTTATTTGAATAGTCATTACATTTCATAAAACTTATTGTTTCCTGGATTTTAAGTTATTCCATTTGGCCAATGTACCACATTTTATTTAATTTGATATTCCTATTAATTAGTATGTACATCTATTATGAGTATTTTATTTTATAATTTGAATTATATTTAACTATAAATATAGTAGTTTTTTAATAAAAAAAAACCTTTTAGTATTAAATTTATTAATTTTTAATAGTGTAAATTGCACAATTTAATTTAAATTATATAATATTTTTTTAAAAATAATAAATTACTATAAATATTAATCATAATTTAAGTAATGTTCTTCAATTTAATTTAAATTATATAATATTTTTTTAATTTATTATAATAAATAAATATAAAAATTTATTTTATATTTTAAATTATTTTAAAATATAAAATATTATTTATTAAATAAAAGATACAATCTCTAACAAATTCAAATAAATATATATAAGAAGGAAGAGAGGCCTATCTTTTATAGATTGATAACTAGTTAAGAATTATCCTACCATAAAAAAATAAATTATTAAAAAAAAGGGAAAGGTGTAAAAAATAATGGATAAAAATGAAAAACAATAGTTTAGGCCCACCACAATAAAAGAAAAAACGAATAAAATAAAAAATCTGAGAGCCCAAAATAACAAAGCCCAAATTAGTTGGGCCAATAGTCAGGTCGAGATTCGAGAAAACAGTCGAAATACAATTCAACCCATATCCGAAGTTCAAAAGTAATTGTTAAAAGCAGGAAAACAAAAAATCCTCATTCTCTGTTTCCTATGAACGATCAAGAACCATCCTTGCAAATCATCAAGAAATGGCATGCATTTCATCTTTAATGCTACAGGGTAGAGACGCTGCAATTGCCCAAGGCCTTATGGAAGTGATGGAACGTCTGATGTCTCTTGATTTCGATGAAGAACCGATGATTCGTTTTCATTTCACCCACGATTGCCTTTGACTGGACTTGTTTCTTGGAAAAGATATGATAGCTTCTTTGTGCTTTTCACAATCTGGAGAAAGTTTTTTCCTCATGGCTCATCTTCATAGAAATTAGAGTGTTGTTTCAAGAAAAGATATCAACCTCAACAAGATGTTGGCTCAGCTGTAGCGCTATCACAGAAGAAACCTACCTCTATTCATCAATTTCATACTCACTGGTGCAAAAGGTAGAAGATTATTTAAGTTGACTTCATTGAAAGATCACATCAGTCTTTCTCTTAGTTGGTTTTAAGTTATTTTTCTTGGGTTGGGTTGTGTTGTTCTTATATTGAAGAGCAGTGGTTAGTTGAGGAAGTTGACAAGGAAGAATGTGTTTCATTGTTTATTCCTTCCAAAATAGTACCTGTTATCCCAGACCCAGAACCTTCTTATGCATATCAAGTTTCTTTACGAACTAAGCATTTATATGGATGGCTTATATCTCTCACATCATTCCTAGAGAAACGTGAGTTTCTTCTTCTTCTTCTTCTTTTTCATTTCTCCAGTTTCTTTTGCAAGTGGGCTTTATCAATTTTCACTTCTATAGTTGACATGTCTTTGACTAATTAATATCTGTCTTTAATTTTCATTTCTCTTTTCTTTCAATAGTTGTTGAACATGTTTTGGAAATTATTGCTTCAAGAATTGATGACATGAGGAGAATGATTGTCCTGAGAGGTCCAAGACAAGATCAAAGAGAAATAGTAAGTTCAATAATCACATCACTATATAATTAAGATTGATTTCAAGGATTTGAGTTTAGTGGTAAGTAGTCCAATAATCATATTATTATGTTTAATGATTCTTCTGCTGTTGACACTTCTCATATCTTCTTTTCTTTTCTTTTCTTTTGTGTGTGTGTGTGTGTTTTTGTTTCTAGCGTGGTGCTCTGCAGTTTACAGGATTTGCACCTGGCGAG